TATATAAAAAATAAAACTCGGATGCAGTTCATCCGAGTGCCATGAAACTTTATGGAGTAGATGAGAATACTCCTGAGAATATTTCTGCGAAAAAGAAAACTAAAGTTTCTTATGGGCGGCGCCATGTAGGGTACAATTTTCGTCAATACACGGTTTGGCGCCTAAAGTTTTAGAGCGACTATGTTGGCACTTGGCATCCGTTAATCGAGCGTCCTGCATAGCGAGTAAGGGGTACTACTATATTCAGCGGTAAAGCTACAACAGGCTTCTAAAAAATAACTTTGTAACGCGAGGAAATCCTTCTGTACAGTTTCGTCACCTTGCGAAAGATGAAAAAATAACTTTTTGAATATGAGGAGCCTACTGTAGAGTTTCGTCACTTTGCGAATGATGCAATAAGTATCTATTATTAGACGATCCAGTCAGAAATTGAGATCGAGCATCTAATAATAGACCATTAGTAACGCTACCATATTGCATCAGTCACACTGATGTTTAAAACACGTCAAATAATTTTTACGTGTTAAAGAAAAAAAATCCTGTTCATTTGTGTCACTTCAGCGAATGACGAAATGTGCATCATTGTTTACAGGATGCTATTTGGTACTCTGGGTTATCCTATGAGCACGATGGCGCCTGTTAGTTTTAAGGAGTCAGGGGCCGTACTCTGCGCCTATGCGATAGTGTAATCGGGGGGGGGGGGCTCCTGAGAGCGCCCCTCTACGTCCCTGACACATGGGTGGTCACCGAAGTGTGTTCTACCTCATTATTTCGGTGAGTGATTAATGTACACATAAGGTTTTCACGCGGTAGTGTAGATAAACCCGTGTCCCGGTATTTTTTATCCAAGCGCAGGCATTGTTTTCATTTAAATAACTTACTTTTAGAAAACAAGGTCACGAGTCTAAGAATATAGGATTGGTAACGCATGGATGAATACCTTCTTATATATTTCGTCGGACTATCTTCTATTCCCGCGGCAACGCGCGGGGACGGGTACGCTAGTGTAAAAATAAAACACGGACTTGAACATATCTTGTTGAACTCTCCATTTTTAACCATCATTTTTTCAATGTTTAACTGATCTAGAATCTAGTTTAGATTTAGATCAAGAAAAATCTAGAATCTACATCTGGCAATATTCAGTAAAAACAACAACCACTAGATCTAGATCTAGAAATACCTTGTCTGTTTATTTCTAGATCTAGCATACGTTATTTGGTTTCGATGAAACTTAAACAACTAGAGATCTAGATAACCACTCGCAAAATGTGTGGAAGGAAGAATAAGTAAGTTGATGTAGAGATCTAGAATCTAGATTTCTAGATCTATCTAGATTTTAGATCTACAAGTCTAGATCTGGAATCTATTTAAAACTGTTTTTGTTGGACTGCTGTTGTTTATTCTTTCGTTTGGTAAAAATATTGTTTGAGGAGATCATAACAGACTGAAAGCCAGAATAATTTGAGAATAAATGGAAATTTCAAGGGAACATTAAAGATTGAATTAATAAGTTCAACTCACATAGATATAAATAAAATTGAAAGCATGGAAATCAAATCTAGATCTAGAAAAACTAAGAAAAAAAATTAACAGCAAAATTGCTATTCAATTAAAATAATTTATACTATAAAAAATTACCATTGATAAATCTAACCAACAAAACTGAAAGAAAATATTACAGGCCTAGATATGTAGATTACAATATCATTCAATATGATGGATAAAGGATTTAGTATTATATATTATATAAGTAGATCTCTTAATAAATTTAAACTTAACTTAAAAGCTAAAATAAAACAGTGTAATATTTAGTAGTTAAAGACTATTCAGTTAGAAAGCTAAAAAATGGACTACATTTAAGTATGTTCCAGACATCCATAACTAAAATAAACTACTAATTATGTTTTTAACTAGGCCTACTATATTTAATTTTATTTGATTACTTTACCCCATTTCTCATAAATCAACAACAACAAAAAACCTGATAATTACATATAATTGTTTACATAACTGCAAATAGAGGGTAAAAAGAACAGAAAATATGTATTCAACAAAATGTTATGAATCTTTTTTTTAAATATTCAGCTTAGAAATTTTATACTTCCCCCTTTAAAAAAGTTTTATATATTTGTAGTTGATAGCACTTTGTTTTTCTGACATGATGAAATACATTTAAAGAAACAATAAAAGAATATTTCAAATCAAAGTCAAATTGGAATTAAAAAATAATTATAACTTTTAAATAAATTTTAAAAACAAAAAGGGATCAAAATTATTTGGGAGGGTCACAGGGCCTTTTATAGGTAGTTAACATATTACTAGTCACAAAGATTTAACACTTTCACTACCTTTACTTTAGTCCACATGTCTACTTTACTTTCAAATTCACATCATGACCACTAAACATGTAGGCCTAATTAAAATTCGCACCTTATAATTTAACTCACAAGACAACACATCTCTCACACAATAGCTAACAACATTTAATAAATGAACTTAAGACATGCAACTTAAATTAAAAATGGAAATATGAACAACCAAAAATTGTAGGTGATTTATTCACTGGGTTAATTAATTAATTCAATGGTAAACTTCATTGATATATTCAATGGTAAACTTCATTGATATATTCAATGGTAAACTTCATTGATATATTCAATGGTAAACTTCATTGATATATTCAATGATAAACTTCATTGATATATTCAATGGTAAACTTCACTGATATAGTCAATGGTAAACTTTAGTAATATGTTCAATAAAAAAAGTAAAATAATTTTCTATAATCACAAGAATGGGAACAAACTCAATAAAAGAATCAACAAAAATGTCAAATAAGACAGTAAAAACCTAAATAAATGTATTCGTTAATTCACACCTTTAAAAAGTTAATTTGTATTTAGCACCAGGAGAGGATGATGGATTTGGACTTGTGTAAATACGGGATATCATCAATTATACTGTGAACTGAAATCCTGCAGTTCAAAAGTTCTAAAAATGCAACTACATTCAAGATTAACATGCCATGATAAAGCTTAACATTTTTAAAGAATATGTGTGTGTGTGTATGCGCTATTAAAAGTTGAATATTAGTTGTCATATGACTTTTATTTCAAATGAAAGTGGCAAAAATTTTATTTAAAAAAATATTTGCCAGACAGAGCATAAAAACCAAATTAGTACTAAAGCAAAGAGGATTGAGAAGGGAAATACATCTATAAAAATTATTGTAGGTAAGAGTAAGAGTTATACAGACAAGTATGGCTAAAAATATTCATTTTTAAAATTCCGATATTTCAATTGACAACATCTGCAAAAAACATTGATTCGTTGATAACTATATAATTTACTGAGACTAAAATCTCTCTGTTTATTCAACAACAATTAACATCATAGTTTTTCAGTACATAATATATTTCAACATTAGTGTACAGGAGTCAAAACTTAATCGGAAAAGTCACTAACAAATGTTTCAAAATTAAAATAATTTTCTTGGTGAAAATAAAATTGTCATGAAAACAGATGAAAATAATCAGCTTGGGACGTTCACCTCAATAAAAGCCTCACAGTAACAGGTAAATTATGCCCACCATAGCAGGTAGATCATACCTCATTCACAGGTAATATTTCTGCTCTGGAATGGTTGTGAACATTTGCAAAAACGAAAACAATGATTCTATTTAAAGCCTACAAAGTTATAATAAAAATAAAGTAACTTTCGGCTAATACAATTTTACTTGTAGTTTATAAAGCTTTCAAAATAAGAAATCTTTTGTTTGGAGTTATTTATGGAGCCACCTTAGTGACAAATGTTTCATAACAGTCTCAAATTTGATAGATTTCAACTAGATTCAAATATTCAGCCATAGGTGTTCCAAGATCATGTGACCAAAATGTATGTAGCTATTGGTGGACCAAAGTTGATTCTATGTGTAGTGATTTTCTTATCTGATGGAAGACTTGATTTTTTATAGACTGTTTTGAGGGTGTGAAAATGTGTTTTGTTTAATAAAATCTTTTCATGCCTGTTTTTTTAAAGAAATTGTGTATGGTAAAAAGGTATTCTTTGAGAACTATATTTAGTTATGGGTTAGGTAAAATAAAATGAAATGTCCATATCACACGTTAAGTCACATGATAGGTCACAACAGGTTGATGAGTAGAGGAACTGCCCCAAGCTATCAATGCAAAAAGTGGTTTGCTTAAATCACAGAAAAGAAAGTAAAATAAACAAGCAACACCAACATCACAAATCAAGCATTATGACGGATTCAAAACAAAATGTTTTAAACAAATATTTTGCATAAAGTAAAAAAAGCCAAAAAAGTGTAATGAGACAGAGGCATATAAATTACAAGACGATTTTTCAAAAACAAAACAAATATTATGTTTTTAAAAAAAAACTAGTCAAAAATCCATAAAAGAATTATATCAACAAAATTGCATTGAATCTAGTTAAAATATAGGAACTCATTCTAAAAAAAAATTACATTTTAAAGTAAATATGATAAACATTATTCTAAAACATACACTAGGATTTACATTAAGAACCAAAAAATTCAATCACTAATATCTTTCTGTTAAAGTAATATTTTTATATTTCAGCTTTGGCTGCAGTATTTACATTGATGAAACCACTATGTACAGATGGTAGATAGATGACTCAAATGCTAGCAGCAGTTCTCAACTGCATGCCACAAAAAACTGATGGCTCAAAATGCTTTTGGTTAGGAAATGTACATTCTGCGTCAGCTCTCCCAAGTTTGGCATATAAATGTATAAAAAATGATGGCATAGATTTAGAACTGAATATTTACAAATGTTTAGCAACAGGGTCAGTAGATTCAATCAATTTGTATCTAATCAAATCTCTTTCACACATACGTTCATGTAAATTTTTGGTAAACTTTGAACAGACTCGTTTTAATTTGTTTCATTTTTATAGAGCTAAACAATATTTTTATAATCTCATCATACAATACGTGCTAAAACCACCCAGCTCTCAAAAGTACAGGCACACAAACTGGTAAATACTCTGCCATCTTACAAATCTCACAGTTACACAAACTGTCAATAGCTTGACCATTTTACAATTCACATACCCACAGTTAAAAGCTTGGCTATCTCACAAATCTCACACTTACACAAACTGTCAACACTTGGCCATCTCACAATTCTCACACTTACACAAACTGTCAATACCTCTCACTTACACAAACTATCAACACTTGGCCATCTCACAAATCTCTTTCTACCAAATCTGGACCGAAGTCGTCGACTAAAATATCTTTGGCTCGCTTGATGGCAATAATCAGGATGACCAGTTCTCTCCGTAGCTGGTCTCTGTCCACGTCTGAACTGTCCTCACTGACCACTAGCCCTGGGAAGATCACTTCCTCGTTCAGGTTGTCAGGGTGGGGTGCTATCAGCACATTTCTAAATCAGGGAGAAAAAAAGCAGTTGTAGCATGACTGGGGGGGTGGGGGGAGCTATCAACACGTTTCTAAATCAGAGGGGAAAATAAACAAGTTAAATACTAAATTTACCTTACATTCACTTCAGTTAAGTTCATGTGTCTTAGCTGTGTTGTATCACCCTATCCAGCCAGAAAAGATCAAATGACCATACCTGTATTGGCCTGATGTAAAAGTCCACCTTCATAAATTATCTTACCTGTATCTACCCTGATGTAAAAGTCCACCTTCATAAATTATCTTACCTGTATCTACCCTGATGTAAAAGTCCACCTTCATAAATTATCTTACCTGTATCTACCCTGATGTAAAAGTCCACCTTCATAAATTATCTTACATGTATCTACCCTGATGTAAAAGTCCACCTTCATAAATTATCTTACCTGTATCTACCCTGATGTAAAAGTCCACCTTCATAAATTATCTTACCTGTATCTACCCTGATGTAAAAGTCCACCTTCATAAATAAAAGCTCTTGAGATACGAATCAGCTTGTCATTAATTTCCAAAACATCAAATTCCCTGGAAAAAAAAGTTTTCGTGCTTAACTCAAGAATGGACCATTGTAAACATGAAGCTAGTAAATTCTGTAGTGTTTATAGTTTTTGATAACAAAACAAACCAATCAAGGATAAGTTAGTCTAGATTTTTCAGTTTGAAGAAGAATGATCAAAATATATTAGTATATTGTGATATGGAAGAAGAAATTTTAAAAATCTACAGCTGTAGATATGCGATCAAGCCAGAGGTTTTAAAGAAATATTGTAGACTTGCGTCAGAGGTTTAAGGAAATATTGTAGACTTGCGTCAGAGGTTTAAAGAAATATTGTAGACTTGCGTCAGAGGTTTAAGGAAATATTGTAGACTTGCGTCAGAGGTTTTAAAGAAATATTGTAGACTTGCGTCAGAGGTTTAAAGAAATATTGTAGACTTGCGTCAGAGGTTTAAAGAAATATTGTAGACTTGCGTCAGAGGTTTAAGGAAATGTAAACTTACGTCAGGTCTGTTTTGTTTCTGAGGGCTGTGTCAAAGGTTAAGGTTGCCTGTGTGAATTCTGACACTGCATCAGACAGCAGATCTGTTGACAAAATATAACTTGTTAAATGTTAATTAATCTAAAATATGTTACTAATGCTTGGCCATTTACTCAAAAAAGTGTATATATACATTTTTTTCTTAATTTGAAAAATAGAGGGACGTTTATGAAGTAGTGCAATAACGAATAATGGCCTTATTAGCATGAAAAGGCCATACACACACTAGATAGCTGTAGAAATATAGCTAAATATATAATTAACAATTAACACTCCTACAAAAACTTTAAACTGAGAAGGGGACAGTACTCAATTTAACTGGTGTTTCTTCTCTATACAGAGTTATTGTTCCTCATCCTTGAAAAGTTGATGATAAGTAGATAATGTGAGGTTTGTGATTAAAATATACATGACATTGTCTATGTCAGATGCATTAACCTGACATTAGCAGTATACCCACAGGTACATGATCCTAACATTAACAATATACCCACAGGTACATCAACCTAACATTAACAATATACCCACATTAACCTGACATTAGCAATATACACACAGGTACATCATCCTGACATTAACAATGCACCAACAATAACACCTACCTGAGTCATTACTTGATAAATGCGAGGTGAAAATGTGCCTAACTTTGGCAATGCCCTGGTTCATCATGGTGCTGTAGTGTGTGACATTCATTGGAATGATGGCAGAGTCTGCTAGTCTCAACACTATATCGCTGAGTACCTACAACAAGAATTGTTTTATTAGACATTCAATAATTAGAATTTTATAGTTAAAAACAGTTGGTGAGAATGTTTACAGTAATTCTATAATTAGATACTTAGTTTAAAAGATTTATGATTTGATAATTAGAAATACTAAAACTGTGTGGTTTGATATTAAGTTATAAAAAAATTTCTTTCTACAAAAACTGTGTGGTTAGATTGTGTAGGGCCCTAAAATGACCGTATGATTAGCAAGATGTATGAACTATTGGGGGCTTATACTTGCTGTCTATATTTTATGTGTATCACCTTCTCTTTCTTAACACACATTATGGTGACATTAATATGCGATTCTTAAACAAAATTCTAAACCAAGATCAAATTTAAAATGGGCTGAATTAATTATTGTTTTAAAAACTTAGAAAACAATGTTATTGAGAAGGCCTACTGAATTTAATTTGTTCACAATGTTGAACCATACCTGAACTAAAGCCGAGTGAAATAAATATTTCTTGTCGATGTTGAGCACATAGTCCATGGTGTCCTGTAATGTGTTGTGGGCGGGGTAGGTGGGTAAATTTGGGTATGCCTGGTGGGACGTTAAAAAATAAAATGGATATATTCAAGTGCATGAGATTTAAACTAAATATTCTATAACAATGACTCTCTTACCACCATGGCTTAAAACATTGCTGAAGACAGAAGATATAGTAAAAATACATTTGGTTCATTTTATTTCATGATAATATTTTAAATTAAATGCCTGCTAATATAATTAGAGGTTATATCTTGACCTGCCTAGCGACATTATATCCAATGTTTTTCATTTTTAATTTAATTAATGTTCATCTGTTGTAAGAGGATTTTAAAATTGTTGAAACTAAACTAGCTGAATCCAAATATCTACAGTAGAGAACATGACTGCTAACCTGAAATTGTAACCTCCATAATGCAATTATTCTACTGAAATATTAAAGTTAAGTAAAGACATTGATATTTTAGCCTACTTAGGACTAATTACTGATATTTATGTAAATACCTTCATATTTTAGCCTACTTAGGCCGAATTAGTGATATTTATGTAAATACCTTCATATTATATGTAAATGCAGTCAGCACTGAAGACATGCCTAGCCTGTACATAAATGGACTGTGGTCTTGGTCACCTGACAAATAATTTATCCTGGAATAAAACAAAAATACATTTAGCTTCATAAACTTTTTTAAAATATCATACTAATTTACCATCCTCAATTATTTTGTAACTAGATGACAATATTTTATGGAACAGCTAAACACTTTGAAATATATCAAATATTATTTTCTAAATTTAAAGCCTATTTAATCAAGGGAGAACTTTTACCAGGGTTCAGTGGCCGAGAATTCAGAGTTACTGGCCCTTTCCTTCCAGACATCATAGACAGACTTGCCATCTTGGCCTGGTTCTGGCCACTTCACAGACATAGCTGCCTTGTAAATTACATCATAGAGAAGTGGGTTGGATTCTGCATAAAAACTATAGTTACCTAAAACAAAAAGGACAAAAGATTTTTTGAAATATTCAAGTAAATCAAATTTACATAAATAAATTATGCAATTTTATGGACATCTTGCACACACACACAAAAAAAACCAAATTATATGGCAATATGGTGATGATACATTCTTCTCTTTGATATCATTTTACATTTAGTATTATTATATCTACTTGTTACACTAAAACTGGCTTCAATATATTAAAAAATTTAAAACGAAATTTACCATTTTTATATGGACTAATCAAGTGATTTTTCTCTATGATGTTGTGGACTTCAAGTTAATAGTTTATTTTTTAAAAATTGTTTTTTAGATACGGAAACTATGTTGTCAAAGTTATTACATAATGAAAAGGTATGTGATTGAAAGTAATGTGATTTTTTTTTTTTTTTTGTGGATGATCTCTGCAGACATTTTTTAAAAAATCCTAATCATTTATACAACTTCAGCAGCTATTAATTTTGATATTTGAGAAACAGGATTTGTTTTTAAAACACTTACCTCGTATAGCAGAATCTATGTTAATGTATGCCACACCACCCGTACTCAACTGCTTTTCATACTCCTGGGTAAAACACAAAAAATATGTTGGTAAACTAAAGCTAACATACAGACATATTAACACAAATTAGGAAGAAATGTAATACTAAAGTTGGTTTTCTTTACACAAAAATGACAACATTTTCTACTCTTTTTCTATTTATGATGCTTTAGTCAATGAATCATAAAAACAAAACAAGGTTAGTCAGTCAAATGTAGTAAAACAAAAAAAAACAAAGTTCAGTTACAAATGAAGTGAACCAACCTGAACCCATTCATAAGCACCAACATGGCCGTACTTTGAAGCATCCCATAATGCAAATATAATTGTCCTTCTCGGCCTCCAGCCTGTACAAGCAAGGGAGATAATTACATTCTGGTTGACACAAATCTTCATAATCTAATGGCACTCAAACTGGAACTGACAATGTACATTTACTTTTTGGGAAATGTCAAAACAATTTATTTTCTGATCAGTAAGATAATAATTAAGGTTAAATACTTTCTAAACTTACGTTACAGTTAATTGGAAGTGGTTATATACGCCATAGATTTGTTAACAAAAATGTTTAGCAAATAAGAAAGACATTTGTCCTACAATTATTTGGTAAGGTATTTTGGTAGTCCAAGAAATAAAAATTTTCAGGGAAGTATTTTAAATATACACAGATATGATTGTAATACTGATAGTGACTGAATAAAAATAACTAAAATCTTCAAGTAAATTTGATAGTCTGATTGTAAAAATAAAAATTAAGGTTCATGTCCCCACCCCCTTCACCTATCCTGGCAAAACAACTAAAAGTATAAAAACTCTTATCATATACAGGAAACCAGCTGACAGCTGACTGACTCACCATATAGGTGAGCCACTAAAACCTAGCTGACTCACCATATACAGGTAACCAGCTAAATGATAACTGACTCACCATCTACAGGTAACCAGCTAAATGATAACTGACTCACCATCTACAGGTAACCAGCTAAATGATAACTGACTCACTATCTACAGGTAACCAGCTAAATGATCATTGACTCACCATCTACAGGTAACCAGCTAAATGATAACTGACTCACTATCTACAGGTAACCAGCTAAATGATAACTGACTCACCATCTACAGGTAACCAGCTAAATGATAACTGACTCACCATCTACAGGTAACCAGCTAAATGATAACTGACTCACCATCTACAGGTAACCAGCTAAATGATAACTGACTCACCATCTACAGGTAACCAGCTAAATGATAACTGACTCACCATCTACATGTAACCAGCTAAATGATAACTGACTCACTATCTACAGGTAACCAGCTAAATGATAACTGACTCACCATATAGGCCTATAAGTGAGTCACTAAAACCTGACTCACTATCTACAAGTAACCAGCTAAATGATAACTGACTCACCTTTCCCCACCTGTGTGGAAAATGTCCTGGCCAAGTCCATAATGATAGCAAAACTAGTTCCAGCGTCAATGGCACCGTATCCCCAGGCGTCTATATGAGCTCCTATAACCACGTAATGATCTGAGGGACAATGAGAAGATCTCAAAAACTGTTTCACCTGTTTTATCTATCATCTACCCTTCTTTAATTCAATATGGAACATTTGTGACAAGAATTCAACTTATTTGTTATTAATGTTTGCACTTCTCTTTATGTATATTTAATGTTGCTCTCATCTTTAAAATCATTTATCATTTTGTATCAAATTTTTACTTATTTCAGAAAAGCTAAAATATTCCTCAAATAAGCAGAAAAAACATTCAGTGAGCATTGAGAAAAAGTCAAAACTTTAATTTTTTTTTCCAAATAACTAGTTAAAAACAGTCAACAAACTTTGTTCATAACATTTTCAGATAACCAGATATGAAATGAACAGATAAAAAAAGTCAACAAACTTTGTTCTTGACTTTTTCAGATAACCAGATATGAAATGAACAGATAAAAAAGTCTACAAACTTTGTTCTTAATTTTTTCAGATAACCAGATATGAAATGAACAGATAAAAAAGTCTACAAACTTTGTTCATATTTCCCCCGTAGGACAGCTATAACATTGTGGATATCTCTGTAGCTAAAGCTGTTGCTGATGTTCAGTTCAACTTTGCTGAAAAGATTCAATTCAGGTCAGTGACTTTATATAGACAACACATGAACTTATATACAAAATCTTATAAATTATAAATTTTTAATCTACAAATGTTTTCTGAGTAAAATGAAAAAAACAGTTTACATCTAAACAATTAGAAAATTCAAGCAATAATACTCAAGGCTGATTAAACTGAATTAAAACTGTACTTAATTAAATGCTGCAAAAGTATGAATTGAGTACGAAATAAAAAAAAAAATATTTATAAGATTATTTTCTGTGTAGTCTGTATCCATACATATTCATATTTAAGATAGTTCTGAGCAGGACACTTTGATCAAAGCAAACATTCGAATAAATAAAGTTACTGAAGAAAAGCTTGAAAATGTCCATTGACTTACTAGTCTTGCCATGGCCCAGTGAAGCCTGGTCCAGTGTTGTAGGAAACGTTAAGTCCACCTAGCCAATCTCCTGTAGTGGACGTCCCACCCAGGTGCCTACATTTAAATAATATGTTGTGAAAGTTGTTTACTCCATCAAAAAACTATACAAAAGTAAAAACATCATTAGAGCTGATGCAGCTTACGTTTGTATTAATGTAACATATTTCACAACAAAATTACATAGGTAATATACTGGAATGTTCTAGGCTTTGAATTACCTGAGCATCATCTCGGCATCGTTGTAGGAGATGGGGTAGACAGGTATTCCAGGTGTGCTGGCTGTAGAGGAGCCAGTTCTAGGGACACCTACTGTCAATAGTAGGGAAACATCAAACATGGTTCATTTTTTTGTTCGAACAGAAAAAATGTCAGAATATGTTATCACCATACCTAGAGCAGTCAAGTGTATGCTCTACTTAAGGTCAGAAGTATGAGCTACCTTGAGCAGGGTAGTCTGGTGTCTGACTTACCTAGAGCAGTCTGGTGTCTGACTTACCTAGAGCAGTCTGGTGTCTGACCTACTTAGACCTGTCATGTGTTTGACCTACTTAGACCAGTCATGTGTTTGACCTACTTAGACCTGTCATGTGTTTGACCTACTTAGACATGTCATGTGTTTGACCTACTTAGACATGTCATGTGTTTGACCTACTTAGACCAGTCTGGTGTCTGACCTACTTAGACCAGTCTGGTGTCTGACCTACTTAGACATGTCTAGTGCCTGACCTACTTAGACATGTCTAGTGCCTGACCTACTTGGACAAGTCTGGTGTCTGACCTACTTGGACCAGTCTGGTGTCTGACCTACTTAGACCAGTCTGGTGTCTGGCCTACTTAGAGCAGTGGTGTCTGACCTACTTAGACCAGTCAGGTGTCTGACCTACTTAGAGCAGTGGTATCTGACATACTTAGACCAGCCTGGTGTCTGACCTACTTAGACCAGTCAGATGTGACCTACCTAGACCGGTCTGGTGTCTGACCTACTTAGACCAGTCAGATGTGACCTACCTAGACCAGTCTGGTGTCTGACCTACCTAGACCAGTCTGGTGTCTGACCTACTTAGACAAGTCTAGTGCCTGACCTACCTAGAGCAGGATAGTCAGGTGTTTGACCTACCTAGAGCAGGATAGTCAGGTGTTTGACCTACCTAGAGCAGGATAGTCAGGTGTTTGACCTACCTAGAGCAGGATAGTCAGGTGTGCTGGGGTCACCTGTCAGCCAGTACCTGACGTGCTCACTGGGCACCTGATCCCCACGTAGCCACCAGGTGCCAGACACGTTGGTCATCCCATTGCAGTAGTCCGAGGGGTCGGGGTACAGGATGACCCCACTGGCGCCATTTTCTTCCGCCAGTTTGATCTACAGGGATAGATGTCAACATGTTGGCGAGAAGTTGTCAAGTTTTACAGGAACTATAATCAGTATTTAGTTTGGATGTAATTTCTAACTACTTATGGTTGCCATCCAAGAGAGATGAAGACAGACCCAGAAGACAGACGCAGACAGACCAAATAACCCATACCTTATTGCTCGGATGGACCTTGCCGTACCGAATGAGGTGAATGACCCCCTTCGTGTTGACCCCTCTCTCCTGCAGCCATCTGTAGTCAGATCTCCGACCAAAGTTACAGTAGACAATGTCCCCCTACACGTAATATAAGAGTTACATGTTGGCACCAAAGTTACAGTAGACTGTCCCCCTACACGTAATACTAGAGTTAAATGTTGGCACCAAAGCTACAGTAGACAATGTCCCCCTACACGTAATACTAGAGTTAAATGTTGGCACCAAAGCTACAGTAGACTATGTCCCCCTACACGTAATACAAAAGTTACATGTTTGGCACCAAAGTTACACTAGACTATGTCCCCCTACACGTAATACAAGATACACTAGACTACAGTAGACTATGTTTGAACACACAGAACCGAATAATTCAATGAACGTTATTAAACTTAAGGTCCGACTCGTTCAACCAAAATACACCAACAAAGGTTTCAGTTATGTGCCCGGAAGCCAATTGGGGAGACTAATTTGCCCCGTCATTAAAAATTAACGGGCTCACTTAATTACAGTAACCAATATTTTTTTTTAAATTTCCGTCAAAGGCATGCAGTCGTTCTCCCAATACTTTTAGCATGTGTGTTCGTGTGGCAGTGTGGGGAGGGAGTGGGCAGCGTATTTCACACGTGTGTGTGTGTACTGGCGGCCATACATAGGTCTACACGATAGTGGTAATAGAGGTTTACGTCATCGGGTGGTGTTCCTTGTAGAGTTCCCTAATGAGGTGGTGTTCCTAAAAAAAATGGATTCCCTCATGGTGGGGCTTCTAGTATCATTTAAACTGACAGTTCGAGGTAACCGTGTTTGTTTCAACGTCGATAGTAACGTGTGAGGCTTGTGTGAAACTTGTGTGAAACGTGTGTGAACACCTAAGGGTCTCAGGCTACTTTAGGTATCTTATTTGAAAAAGGGGGCAGGGGTCTTTCAGATTCTCTGTCTAGATTAAAGATCACGGTTAGAAATCACATGACCAAGACGCCCATACTAAAAATTCTCTGATTATTCTTCTAAAACTGTCTGTAAATTACGCCTCAAGGCATGCTCTAAAGACCGGCTCCTATGGCCTGTGATTGATAAAAAGAACTATTTTAAAGACCCGTGGTTGAGGAAATGGTGTGGTTGGGGAAATAATGTGAACGGTGACTGTGGTTGAGGAAATGATGTGAAAGATGACTGTGGTTGGGGGAATGATGTGAACGGTGACTGTGGTTGGGGGAATGATGTGAACGGTGACTGTGGTTGAGGAAATGATGTGAAAGATGACTGTGGTTGAGGGAATGATGTGAACGTACTGTGGTTGGGGCAATGATGTGAACGGAGACTGTGGTTGGGGAATGATGTGAACGGAGGCTGTGGTTGGGTAAATGATGTGAACGGACTGTGGTTGGGGAAATGGTGTGATCGGTGACTGTGGTTGGGGCAATGATGTGAACGGTGACTGTGGTTGAGGAAATGGTGTGAACGGTGACTGTGGTTGAGGAAATGGTGTGAACGATGGGTGTGGTTGGGGAATCACGTGAACGGTGACTGTGGTTGGGGAAATGGTGTGAACGGAGACTGTGGTTAGGGAAATGATTTGAAAGGAGACTCGGGTTGGGGAAATGATGTGAACGGAGACTGTGGTTGAGGAAATGACGTAAAAGATGACTGTGGTTGGGGAAATGATGTGAACGGTGGGTGTAGTTGGGGAAAGATATGAAAGATGAGCGTACCTCGACGTTCCCCGAGGCTGAGTAGGCGTTGAATGGGGATATGTCGGGGTGGATGTTGGAGTTGTTGGTCCACGTCTCGAACACCAGGGTGTTGTTGTTGGTTTTAATCGCCACGTGGTTCTCGTCTTGCCTGGTGAGAGGGAGAAGAAATTTTTTGAAAATCTTGACGAAACAATATTTATAGATAATAAAAAGTTTAAAATCTTAACGAAAAAATGATACAGTTACAGACAAAAATTTGGAAATCTTAAACAGTGTCCACAGACAATAAAAAGTTTAAAATCTTGATGCAACAATGTTTATAGAGAATAAAAAGTTTAAAATCTTAACGAAACAATGTTTACCGAAAATAAAAAGTTAAAAATATTTTAATTTTTAATCAATGTTACACGCAATAAAAAGTTGAAAACCTTAACGAAACAATGTGTACACACAATAAAAAGTTCAAAATCTTATGGCTACAATGTTTACAAAATCTATTTTTTAGTAATTTACTTTCAATAAAAGAAAAAAATTGATTTCTTCGTTTTTTTGTTCGAACTTGCTGCACTGGATTAAAATAGCTCTGTTTTCTTCATAGAAAAAGAAACAAAAACATAATAAAAAGTTTAACTGGAAAAAGTTTTACAGATCTAAACATTTTAAACAAATACCAGCACATAGACCGCCAACGACAGGCGTTAAAAAAAGACAAAAAAAAACACGTCTGCAAGTTTGATTTATTTTCCAGAACTCTAAAGAAACCTCTGGCATTCAAATCGACTATTTTTGTCAGCAGGTAAAGATGACAAGTTTATCCAGTTCTGATCGCGTGCTATATCGTCTGTCAAAATTTAAATTGCTTCGTTTGTCTAATACTTTATGCTGTACTTGAAACTATTTCAATTTGTTTCATTCGAAATGTCAGCCTTGGGTGAAGCATTTGATTTTCTTTCATTTGAGCGGGTATTGTATGGGAAATGGGTTGGTAGATGATTACATGGGATATGATGGGCTAGCCATTGATGATTACATGGGATATGATGGGCTAGCCAGAGATTACATGGGATATGATGGGCTAGCCATTGATGATTACATGGGATATGATGGGCTAGCCAGAGATTACATGGGATATGATGGGCTAGCCATTGATGATTACATGGGATATGATGGGCTAGCCAGAGATTACATGGGATATGATGGGCTAGCCATTGATGATTACATGGGATATGGGCTTACCAAGTGGCTGGTGCTAGACACATCTCGCCACATACACACCGTATCAGACAAGATTCGAACCCATACCTCTCCCACAACATGCACCCATGTTTACTAAATCCCATTCAGAATCTCAACGCTAGGCCATACTCCCCTTTCTAAAGTCTCATCATTTCCGCATGCATACAGCAACAAGTGATAAACTACCACGGCGTGTAATACATCTTATTTCTTTATATCTTTATCCCCCCCCCCCTTCCCCGGCGTATATATAAAATTGATTTCTTACATTTTTCTCGCCCCGTCTAGAGAACCCAAACAAGACAAATAGATTCCCGCCCTTTATCTCCCAACTTCCGTCAGACGTTATGACAAACCGCGAAACATTTTCCTCTGACGCCCCAATTCTCTCCAGACGTCCAGTCGGCCGTCTGACAACAATGGGGTCCGGTGGTCTCCCTTACCCCACCCCCTAAACCCCTGCCTTTAACAGGAATTATTCATCAAAGTTAGTTTCAATTAACCCTGTCTGACCTGGGACGTCAGCCATTTCATTTCTCTGTGTGCAGCCGACATTTTGAAAGGTTCGCGGGAAGTGGTGAACAAAATGTTCAAATTATTGTTCAAATTTTTCTCAAATATTTTTCTCAAAAACTTTTAATAAATATGTCAGTAAAATAGTTATAATAATTTGGTTGTAAGAAATACGTTATAATTAGGGTTATACATTAATGACGATCAATAGTTAATGTCACCCTTGGGCGAAGAGATATCGTTTAATAAATGTTTAAAATCTGCTTCCCGTAGGATGGCATAAAACTGTACCGATTGATTTAATATAAGCCAGTGGTCATAATCATTCTAACTTTATCAGGCCTCCATTACATAAAGTCACGCTAAAACTTTATCAGGCCTCCATTACATAAAGTCACGCTAAAACTTTATCAGGCCTCCATTACATAAAGTCACGCTAAAACTTTATCAGGCCTCCATTACATAAAGTCACGCTAAAACTTTATCAGGCCTCCATTACATAAAGTCACGCTAAAACTTTATCAGGCCTCCATTACATAAAGTCACGCTAAAACTTTATCAGGCCTCCATTACATAAAGTCACGCTAAAACTTTATCAGCCTACCTTACATAAACTCACGCTAAAATTTTATCAACGCCTACATTACATAAACTCACGCTAAAACTTTATCAGCCTACATTACATAAAGTCACGCTAAAACTTTATCAGGCCTCCATTACATAAAGTCACGCTAAAACTTTATCAGCCTACCTTACATAAACTCACGCTAAAATTTTATCAACGCCTACATTACATAAACTCACGCTAAAACTTTATCAGCCTACATTACATAAAGTCACGCTAAAACTTTATCAGGCCTCCATTACATAAAGTCACGCTAAAACTTTATCAGCCTACCTTTCATAAACTCACTCTAAAATTTTATCAACGCCTACATTACATAAACTCACGCTAAAACTTTATCAGCCTACATTACATAAAGTCACGCTAAAACTTTATCAGGCCTCCATTTCATAAAGTCACGCTAAAACTTTATCAGGCCCACATTACATAAAGTCACGCTAAAACTTTATCAGGCCTCCATTACATAAAGTCACGCTAAAACTTTATCAGCCTACCTTACATAAACTCACGCTAAAATTTTATCAACGCCTACATTACATAAACTCACGCTAAAACTTTATCAGCCTACATTACATAAAGTCACGCTAAAACTTTATCAGCCTAAATTACATAAAGTCACGCTAAAACTTTATCAGGCTCACATTACATAAAGTCACGCTAAAACTTTATCAGCCTACATTACATAAAGTCAAGCTAAAACTTTATCAGCCTACATTGCATAAAGTCAAGCTAAAACTTTATCAGCCTACATTACATAAAGTCAAGCTAAAACTTTATCAGCCTACATTACATAAAGTCAAGCTAGAACTTTATCAGCCTACATTACATAAAGTCAAGCTAAAACTTTATTAGGCCTACATTACATAAAGTCAAGCTAAAACTTTATCAAGGCCTCCATTACATAAACTATTCACCAAATTACATCCCTAAAGCTGCTCGCTGCAATCTAATTATACGCGAATACATTAAATTACACCCATAACCAAGCTTAAATCAGATCCCATAAAATGATATAAATCTTGTAAAGTAGGTAATCAAATAGAGCAGGGGATCTCAAACTCTATGGTGTGGAAGTGCACTTATGTATGAGGCCATAGCATCAGATCCTTAGATAAAACCGTCAGTAATATATAAAAAAGATGTCACACTAAAGTCAGATAAAATTGTCAGCATTATCTAAAACACTGCCCACAAATGTTAAGTTAAAACCTTTAGTATGTCTAAAAGCATGAAAAATCTAACCACTGACCCACTAATGTCAGTGTATCTAAAACCCTGACAGATCTAACCACTGAACCACTCACGCCACATAGTCGGGATAGACCAGCTGGACGCTGTAGTTCTTGATGGCCAGACTGTCGAAGTTGAAGTTCCTCCACCAGTCCCGCACGTAGATCAGGATCCGGTTGGTGCCGCCCACCCCCGACAGCCGTACGTCCCTCGTCAGTAGCCTGGGGTAGAGACAACAAAACTGGGTCAAGGTCATCCGTCGTAGTGTCATCTGTCGGTTAGTTGGCAAAGGTTCTATCATCGTCATCTTTCCCCGTTCGTGCCCAAAACACATGGGGCAGATGAAGTAGAGTTTATCTGATTCAGGGACCTCGGCATAAGAAGGGATAGTGTGGTCAGCACTATGCCCAGGTAATTTTGCTTCCCTAACGAGAGTTAGGTACGCATCAGAGCTGGGTGGACTCAGGGACGCTCTACTGACTTGAACCCGGATTCGAACTCGAGACTTTCGGGTTAGCAGTCCAGCTCTCTACCGCTGGGTCACGCCGTCCCCACAGTTTCTATATTTATACGATTCTATCAGAAGTAAACTGTAGAACTATCTGGGCAGGTGAACATTGGTCACGGCCATTACTATGTCGTGTAAGGCGAGAGTGAATCACCACTGCTGTCTTAAAACCTGACATACTGAGATGTGGTGACTGGCCACAAAAGATTGATTTCGTGTTTCCAATTTTTGAAATATCTCCGATTAAAAATTTCTATTTTAGGCGTCTAATGCCATTTGTGGTGGGATCATGGGAAATGTGTGAAATCGATGCTTCGGGATGACTTTCAGAAAGACCTTGATTCTCATTAGATTTTATTTCGCTCACGTCACTAATGGTGACGATTTTCGCCATCAAATATTCATACGCTAATGTTGAAAATTCGAACCTGACTTTGTCGATTCACCCGCCTGTTTTGTCAAATCTCTAGCATCGTGTAAAAAGGGAAACAAAGATTTGTAAAAGATTTTTCCTACAAAAGAAAATTTTGCTTTTCTGGTAAATTGTTTAACTTTTTAAAAAGTATATGTTACCGGCAAAGTGTAAAACCGACACTATAGAATACCTAGGCGGTGTGTACAATGCCTGCAATGGGCCGTCAGAGTATGAAATACATCAATAATTTATACGTTTCCTCGTCATTCTATAGAATAACAAATAACAAACAGGCTGAGCATAGAATAATAGCAAAATATCAAGGTTTAGGAATTGGGTTAAGGTTAGGGTTAGAAAGAAAAATAAATTAAGTGCAATTAAAAATGCCATTCTAACCTTACATTATGCAACCAATTCATTTTCTATTTTTTTTTTTTTTTTTTTTTTTTTTTTTTTTGACTTTTTGTTATTAAAGACTTTTGCAATCAGGGCATTTCACACTTTGAGCAGTTCTTGGCATTCTAAATAAAGCCTTGGCATTTTATGTAATGCCTGTGAAGTATAGAACAACGCTGATAAATGCCTAAAACGCCAGTAATTGTAACATTGCCTAGGTATTCCATAGAATGCCGGGTTTTTATCCATTGCCGGCAACATATATCGCAGGGTATAGTAGCAGTAGCAGAGTGACTCTGTCTGACGCTGTCTGTCAGTGTCTGACATCACAGTGACGCAGCGTCTAGTATCAGAGTGACTCTGTCAACGTCTGTCAGATGACAACTTACTGCAGGCTGTCCTCAAAGTTGGAGACGTGGGTCACACGGGCCTGTAGCTCGTCCCTTACACGTGGGTTGTAGTCCTGGCAACAGAAACAAACATCACGTGATCTCACATCATTAACATAAACTACGCTAAAATATCCCTTATCTAGTAATGCGATACACAAACTTGCATCCATTAGCACGAAGACCAAAGCATGTCGTGCGTGTTGCGACAATCAGTCAGAACATGAGCGTGTTGTAGAACAAACAGAACTATATATTTGTTGCAGAACTGAATGGAACATGCACAATCAAAATAATAAGTCGATCTGTCTACAGCTTTTCAAGGCCCACGATATATACCTCATTCTACCTTACTGAAGACTGACTAAAATAAATATTACCATAAAAGAACATTATCCTAAAATAACAAGTATATGAAATGACCCTGGATCTGAAATTAATACCCCGACAAGACAATTGATCTGAAATAACATGAATCTGAAATGACCTTGAATCTGAAATGACCATGGATGTGAAATGACCTTGGACCTGAAATGACCTTGGACCTGAAATGACCCTGGACCTGAAGTGACCACAGACAAGCACTAACCACCTGGACTGACCTGTTGCACGCCCAGGTACTTCTGTTTGATGGACGCCGAGACAAAGACCTCGTGGATGTTCCTCCTGATGACGTAGCCGATGATGAGGCCGACAAAGAGCACGGCGAGGATAAGAAGAGCCTGGGGAGGAGAGGACACACGCAAGGTCAAGGTTGAACTTTGGCAAGTCTGTTTTGTTTCTAAATGCTGAAGTTTAGTAGTGGAGTATTCTCATGGCCATGCTGTGGTAACTTGGCCTGAATGTTTGTGGTATTGCCAGGTAATTTTCTAAAGTCTCTAATTCAATCTCCAAATTGAACCACTAAACAGGGGAGTGGTGGGATTCGAAATAGTCAATCGAGTTACACGGAGCTAATCTGCTGCCTCCCCATCCCTTCCCTTCCAGATACAATAGGCGTGAGTTGGTATACCAAAAAGTCATTAATTCTCCCCCCCCCCCACCCCCCAACAACAATAGTCAAAACATACACAGATGAATCTGTGCTATAAATATTTATTAGATCGGTGAACTGGTACTCCGAATAGTTTACGACTCATACAATGGTAACCTGGTGCTCCGACGGTCATTAGACGCACACAATGGGTAACGTGACGCGTGACTCCAGGTTCATCCGGTACACTTGACCAAACTGATCGGAAGATCGCGTGATGGCGTCACAGTATCCGCCTCAATCATTTTTTTCTGACGATTCTTTAAAAATTGTTCCGTGGCTTTACAACTAACGATTTTTTTCCCTTCCCACAACTATTCTAGAAAATGTGACTTAATTAAAGAACAAGCATGCTTTAATTAGGAATGCTTAATCTATTTATAAGTTTGGGAGTTTTCTGAGTGAGTTGGTTATGTTGTCGATATAGAAAGTTTACAAATGTTTAACCTATTTATATAAATAAATAAAATAAATCCCTTAACACTTGGGTGGAGGGGCATTGGGGCACCACAGATTTGTGTGGTGTGTCTAGGGCTAAGTATTGCATGATGGCACCCATCCCTCTCCGTGCCTGACCACAGACGGATGCTTCCACCTAGGTGGCTCGCATTGGTCACGATCACAAGGTCGTTGAAGGTCATCTAGGAACTCTAGTGCCCGGGTCGGTGACTTTACTACAAGGTCATGCGCCCAGTGATGCATCACGTGTTTGATTTTGGAGTTGTCTCTCCTAGATGGGTTGCTGTCCCCAGGTGACAAGCCTCATCTGTCTGGGGGTTCGAACTCGGTACTTTTGATCTTTACCGACCCGACCACACCGACCCCGTTTAAACTATGCACCAAATCAAACAAATGTGACATTTTTAATCCAACTCTATCGTTAACAAGGGAATTCACAGAAAAAAAAATCAGCTTTCTTTCGCCAACACTTATGTTGTGTTAGTCTTTAAGTAACTACAAAAAAAAAAAAAAAACTAGCAAAAAGACATCAAAGACAAGTTTAAAACAATGTTATTACAGTGACTGTTTACACCATTGTAAAACATCTTTTTTGATGTGAAGTTTTGGAATCGTGAAACTAAACCGGATATTAAGTTCCCGATCCCAAACTGAAGTGGAATTCTGGGAATTATCGGCCTAAGACGGCTGACGCTTGACAAGTCCACAAAAAAACTAATCCGGTTAGAAAAGACGCCGGGAAAAAATATTTCCGGCTGAAAACAAAATAGAGATTTTTTTTTTTTAAACTATTGAAAAGTGACTCACGGTTTTATGCTGAACAGAGTATTTTTGGCCCAACTACATCAGACTACGCATGCGCAGATAAATGAGCAAATAAATACATGTTTATACTTGTTTGTATTTATTATCATACAAACATAGGGCACAAACACATACACATATACAAATAAAGTTTATGGATCTTTTCCCCATTAGAAATTATATAATACGAGCCGACCCGCGGCATATCATACGCCGCTATTTTGTTGTTGTTTTTTCTACTTTCAGTAATTCATAATTTGTGAATTCGACACTACCAACGCTGCCATTGAAAATATTTCTTTTAAACACTATAAGTAGCTCGTTAAGGACGATAACCCTCCAACCCCCCCCCCCCCCCCCCCGTTAAAGTAAACTCCACTTAGTTACCCCCCCCCCCTACGTTTAAAATCGTTTCAAACTAAATTATCCGCCCCTAATAGTCGTCACTAAGCCCGGCTCTGCTTGTAAACATTTAGCGTGAACCACAGCTCACTAGACCATGTAGGGGTGGGGGTGGTAGGGAGCGCGCTTACAGCTTGTTTTCTAGCGTCTCCCAGAAGAGAATTATATATATATACGAGCCGACCCGCGGCGTATCATACGCCGCTATTTAGTTGTTTTTTTTCTTCTACTTTTCAGTAATTTATAATTTGTGAATTCGACATTACCAATGCTGCCACTGAAAATATTTGCTTAAAAACACTAAACCCCCCTCCCCCCCCCCCCACGTGAAAGCAGCCACCTCTTAGTTACCTCCTCTAAGTTTAAAATCGTTTCAAACTAAATTATCTGCCCCTAATAGCCGTCACCAAACCCGTCTCTATGATTGTAAAATGTAAACAGCGTGACCACAGCTCACCAGACAATGTGGGGGTGGGGTGGGGTGGTAGTGATAGAGAGAAAGAGAGGGGACTGCAAGGAGGTGCTTGCAGCTTGTTTTCTAACGGCTCCCAGAAGAGAATTATATATATATAGAATAGATAGATAGATAGATTACAAAACAAGAATAATGTTTCTTGCTCCAAAAAACCTGAAGAATGTTTCTAGATACTGCAAATCTAAATCATATTACTAGCCCCTACCAATACTAAAACATATTTTTGGCTTCCACATAACGAAAGCACATTTCAAACTCCTACGAAACTAAAGCTGTTCTAGCTCCTACAAAACTAAAGTACACGGTGACTAGATACTGTCCCTTAAGACCCATTTCACTTTATGTGAGTTCTGTCCCCTGGGCTGGCTATAGTGCTGGCGACAGTGGCGCAAGAGATGAAATTACGTAAACGTACAGGGAGAGACCTGTTTAAAATACTGCTGTAGCAGGATCTATTATTCTAGTGAACTCTCGAGACTTTGTACACCGTTCTCTCCTGGGACCATTGCTTTAAATATTGCATGGTTAGTGAAAGATTACATTCATATTTATGGGATGCATTTTTGTATGTGTATGTATAATAATTTTTTTACATACACACATAGACCAGCATCAGTGACCAGTGCATATACTTACACCTACGTCAAGCATGTAAATCAGGGGTCTCCAAACTTTTTAACCCGAGGGCCGCATTACGTATCAAATATCAGTTCGGGGGCCAGAGTTTCTTCCAGGCATTTCTTCGGGACGGCAGACCAGCCCCCCCCCCCCCCGAAGAACGTCTACTCCACCCCCCCCCCCCACCCCCCACGACGAAATATAATTTATGTAGATATATATACACATTTCAAGTGTCCCCCTCCCGGAGAAAATACCGGAGCATAATACCGTGCAGGAGCATTGGTTGTAGAATATTTTTTCTCATTCGCTTGTCAAACCAAGCCTTTCTTTTTGCCACGCATGTACTTTCCTCCATCAACAGTCAGTTAACTGAGATTAGTCCAGTCCAAGTTATAATCATCAAATGTTTTTTTAACTCATTGAATATATCGTCTCCGGCTACAGTGATATACATGTTATGTAGGGAAGACAGCTCTTGTGTTAAGGTTCATGTCTTCATCCGCACCTCTAATGAACATAAGCAGTTAAGAGGTAGAACAGCTGTCTAGCGACTCATCCATTGCAATCAGTGTTTCTTCCAGACTTTTTTCTCCGGGTGGGCACTCGAAATTTTCAGGGGGGGGGGGGGGGGGCGGACACTGTTAAAAGTATATATTTTCTATATAAAGTATATAAATTTCGTTCGGGGGGGGGGGGGCGGTAAAAATTTTTTGGGGGGGCTAAGCCCCCCCCCCCCCCCCCCCCCGAAGAGATGCCTGGATGAAACTCTGATTGCAATGTTTTAAAAAATAGCAAAACTTGCTTGTATTTTTTGCTATTTGAGTCACAATGTTTTCACCAATGTCTGCAACACGGTGGGCAATTGTATTAGCACCCAAAGCTACATTTTCAAGTTGTTTTGAATTTTCTGGGCATAGATCCTCAGCCACCTCCAACAAACTTTTTTTCCGTGGACAAAAAGATATCCGCGGGCCGGATGAGAGGACTTAGCGGGCCGCATGCGGCCCGCGGGCCGTAGTTTGGAGACCCCTGATGTAAATGATTGTTGATTAGCAAAAAGTAAATGTCAAAGTAAAAAAAAAAATTGAATACCTTCCACAAACGAGTTTTGCCAGTTTGGAAAACGGCCACGGCCGATAACATGGACGAAGACGCTAATGTTAAGGCGGTACCCTGGTAGCTTTGTTCTTGCTACAACACCCCCACCCCTAACCCCTGATTTCACATTCATAGTTAATTACGTCACACACTTCCCAATAATGTCCCTTAAGCTGTTCAACCTCAACAGTAAATTGCCAACCCCCCCCCCCCCGGCTAATTTGAATGTGTTACCTTGATATCTCATCCCCCCCCCCCAAACTAATCTGACTGTTGTATTACCTTGATGGCTAATCCCTTCTTGCCACTAAAGCACTGTGCACATCTGATTATATTTACCTTAATGGCTAATCCCCCCCCCCCCACTAATCTGACTGTTGTATTACCTTGATGGCTAGCTAATCCTCCCACTAATCTCACTGTTGTATTACCTTGATAGCTAATCCCTTCTTGCCACTAAGGCACTGGGCCCACCTGGCTATATTTACCTTGATGGCTACCCCCCCCCCCCCACTAATCTGACAAATTCCCTTGATGGCTAATCCCTCCTTGTCACTAAGGCACTGGGCACACCTGGCTATATTTACCTTGATGGCTAATACCCCCTACTAATCTGACGGATTACCTTGATGGCTAATCCCTTCTTGCCACTCAGGCACTGGGCACACCTGGCTATATTTACCTTAATGGCTAATCCCCCACTAATCTGACTGTTGTGTAACCTTGATGGCTCATCCCCCACCCCGTCCCCACCCCCACCCCCACCCCCACTAATCTGACAGATTACCTTGATGGCTAATCCCTGTGACCTACTTAGGTCCAGTAATGTTTTATTTTGACATTGTGTTAATACCATATATGGATTGATGGTGCAACAACCGGGTTTTTTCCACTGTCTTACTAAGAGTGTCTAAGACGTAGAAATTTTCCATCAAGATCTGATTGATTGATTCAGACCAGATGACCACCCCATAGCTCAGTGGTTAGGATCTCGGCGCGCCACGGCGGCGGCCGAGGTTCGATTACTCGGTGTGGAGCTGAGTATAGTCTATGGTGTCTAGTGGTCTAGTGGCTTAGAATCTCGGTTTGGAGCCGAGTAGTGTGGCACAGTGGTTAGGAACACCATTAGTGGCCTAGTGGTTAGAACCACATAAGTGTCACACAATAGGAAACACAACCAGCACCAGGCAGTCCATTCTGACCAGGCAGTCCACCTTGATCAAGCAGTCTATCTTGACCAGGCCGTCCATTTTGTCCGGCAGTAGATTCTGACCATTTGAACGTGAGAGAGCTTAAGTCCTGAGTGTGCTATGCATTCTTAAGTTGTTTAAATATTCTAGTATTATATTACTTGTGGCCAAGTGATTCTTGATGCTATAGCAGTGTTGTGTGACCTGTGGCTATTTTTATACAGTGTTAGAATCTGTGATAGTATTTTTTCTTACGCTTTGTAAGTTGGGTTTTGTTATTTTTTAAACTAAATATTTTATGTTGTTTAACCTTGTGATCTGCCACAACTGTGTTCGCTTATTAAAGGTTGTATGCAGATTGAATGAGTTGTTAACTTCAATAGTTTCACTAGTTTTCCCTAGACATCGAAATCGAGCCCTAGTGTGATGTTGAGTTAATGTCCATTCATTTAGGCTTTAAGTCATTTGCATATAACCCCAAGAAAGAATCCGGGGGCGTTCACCATCTATCTGGCTGGTAGATAGGTGTCCGTTACATCCCTTCTTGCCACTCAGGCACTGGGCACACCTGGCTATATACCTTGATGGCTAATCTCCCCACTAATCTGACAGATTACCTTGATGGCTAATCCCCCCACTAATCTGACAGATTACCTTGATGGCTAATCCCCCCACTAATCTGACTGTTATATTACCTTGATGGCTAATCTCCCCACTAATCTGACAGATTACCTTGATGGCTAATCCCCCCACTAATCTGACAGATTACCTTGATGGCTAATCCCTTCTTGCCACTAAGGCACTGGGCACACCAGGCTATATTTACCTTGATGGCTAATCCCCCCACTAATCTGACAGATTACCTTGATGGCTAATCCCTTCTTGCCACTCAGACACTGGGCACACCTGGCTATAATTACCTTGATGGCTAATCTCCCCACTAATCTGACAGATTACCTTGATGGCTAAACCCTTCTTGCCACTCAGACACTGGGCACACCTGGCTTGCTGGACGGGCTTGTCCAGGTTCTTGTACTCGATGTCGATGTTGTCCGAGTCGGCCTCCCATCGCGACACCGGCTTGCCGGCTATGTAACCCCGGGACGGCATGCTGAAACACAGAGAAGAGCTTAAGTTAGGGCAGAGTTAGGAGCTTATGTTGTGGGGGGCAGAGTTAGGAGCTTAAGTCGTGGGGGGCAGATTTAAAAACGTAGACGAGGTAAAAAGAGAAGAGCTAAAGTGAACGTACATGAAACATTTAAGTAAAACATAGAGCATAAATCAACAAGCGGTAACATTTTAACGTATTTAGTTTTCTTCAACCAAAAAGAAAAAAAAAGTGTATTTCTCTGAGAGAAAAAAGTCATCTTCTCTTTTTAACTAAGTTAACGGCGTGAGTACACTTCTCCTGCCCGGAGTAAACCCTGGACACTGGGCACATTTACATATTAGGAGCCAAGTCTTGGGTTCGTCCACCTCGGTACAAACACGCCAAAGTCTACGGTACAATCCACAAGTTGAACGAGAAATTTGAAAAAGTCAACTGTACAAACTTAAATCTAAAGTCGCCTTGATATCAAATGTTACCTGTTAGAAATGTATCATCACAGAGCCGGTATAGTACGAGATGGTCAAACACGGATGTAGCAACCAAGGGCAGACAACACACTGAACGGACGAGGGTGAAAGCCGCGCCTGCCCGGGGTGGGGCGGGGTGACAAAGGTGGTCGCCCTCGACTGCAGGGCCGGCAACAATAAGGCTACAGTCCGAGTTTTTAAGTGACTCATTAACGCCGATATTCATTAGTGGGTGAGTCAACGGATCAATTCAGCGGTCTGGGGGTGGGGGCAGGCACGAGGTGGCGCGAGGCATTGATTCCCCATCCAGGTAACTTCCAGGTGAGATGGTCAGCCCCGATACGGCCAATCACACGTGACGGTGAGCGAGATAGTTCTTTGTTATTGCTCACGTGCCGACCCCTAATTAGCGTAGTTGTTGTTGGCGTTCTTCGTTACAGCCTAATGGCGCCCTTCGTTACCACTATACTACTATGGGCGTCTTAGGTAAACATAACGTTTGCATTTGACCCCTTTTAGCACCCAGGTTGGTTTTCTCCTATGCTTGAATATGTCAAGCATGTTCTCCTTATACCACTAGTAAATCGGCGTAGCGACATAGACAAAAAACGTACGTGATTTCGGCCTCACTTTCGTGCTCGTTGTTTGCATGAGAGAGGCTTAGAGTAAATGTTGCTGTTTTTTTTTATGTGGGTATAAGCAATAGCTCACCATCTTGTTCTGGGGAAAAATTGAGTACGTCTCCACACTAACCATTAAAATAATGGTCTTTGAAATAAGGTTAAAATTGCTTCAAGGGACAGCAACTCTTCTAGGAAAGACAACTCAAAAACTGCTTTTTTTTGTAGTTAGTTCTTTGTTGCACAAAGGCTATGGAAACCAAAAAAAAAGAATAATAATATTAATAGCAGGCTGAAATTGGAGCAACGGCCTACATGGCGCATAACAAGTTGACACGTAATAGTTGATTGAGTTGGAGGGATCCCACATTAAAAATTAAGAAAGAAGAAGCTTTAACAAATCACACAAAATCTGTTAGTAAAATGGTTATTTTGGCGTTTATGTATTTAATTTAGTTATTAGGGGGAAAAAAGTTCCAGTAAAACATTTCGGATCCACTGACAAATCCCCACGCCTCCCCGGAAGGAGCACGTTTGTGTTTGTGAGCCCCGGTATAAAACATCGGAACTACAATTTGAATTAAAAAGGCGCCGACATGTTCAAATTACAAACAAGCAAAGAAATAAAACCTGTACGCCTTTAATACTCGATGCGGGTAAAACGAAACGCAATTCGAGACGGACAATGGCGGCTGCTGTACGAAGCCAAAACCAGGTATAAATTTTAAATCGAGTGAGACAGGTTAATGGAACATCAACATGGCGGCATGTCCAATCCTCGGCTCGGATGGAAGGAAAACAAAATCTGAGTTCTAAAAATCTGGACTGTCCTGGGTGGACGGTTTAACGGACTGTGCTGATTGGTTTAACGGGAGACGTCTCAGGTAAACCCTCATCAGTCACGTGACCAGTTGATAGATCCGGCACATCAAAACAAAAACATCAAAGCCACGGCAACATTCGCACGTGCAGCATGACAGCTCGGGGGTGGACAAAACACGAAGCATAAAACATTGGGGTGGGGTGGGGGGGCAAAACACGAGACCGCACACAAGGGGGCGGGGGGGGGGGGGCGAGAACCACGGTTGGCGGTGGGGGGGGGGGGACACGATACCTCACACGTGGGGGGGGGGGCAAAACACGAGGCATCACACATGTGGGGGACGGTGGTGGGGGACAAAACACAAGGCATCATAGTTGGGGGTGAGGGTCAAAACACGAGGCGTCACACGTTGGGGGGTAGACAAAACACGAGGCATCACACATGGGGGAGGGGAGAGTAATAAACTTCTTACATCAAAGTGCGTGACACATGATGACATTCGGACAAAGATGTGTATAGAAATGGACCTCTAGTAAAACTGCTTGACCACATGTACACCAGGTCGCCTGACCTCATGTACACCAAGGTCCAAGTGGCGTGACCTCCCTCATGTACACCTCATGTGCTCAAATATAGTCAAAAGACCTAACCCTAACTTACAATGTCACATAACCTCAAGTGGTTATACCATCTCATGAAGTCACAAGACCCCATGAAGTCACAAGACCTCACGTACATCAGGTCATGTGACCTCTTCTCCCCCCCCCCCCCCACCCTCTTACATCGCCCCCAAACAACGAAACCCCAGCCTCTGCCCTGCCTACAAGCAGACGTCGCGTGCCACACCACCACAAGCCTGTCCGACACCCGGAACCGACACCCGGAACCGCCACACGATAACTCTGTAGGGGGACGAGAAGAGAGTTACTCCCCCCCTCCCCACCCAACGAGACATTGCATGCAGACGTGGACATTAACAATTTACGACCCGTACGGTAATCGGGGTCCGATGCTTGTGGACCCACAACCCCGCCACCAGAGGGAATCAACATTCAGCAGTAAAAGCATGTGTTAAATTTACATCCAACCTTGACATTCATGGCCCAAGCTTATCAACGCGGCGCTAGCCAGCCGTCGCACGTCAAGCTAGGTCACGTGATTTTAAAATCCCACCAATCAGCCGATAGATGTGGCGGTGGGGCGTAAACTATTAAAAGAAACACTAGAAAACTCTAAATAAAATAAACTGGGAGTGATCTCCCCTAAACTTTCTCGAATATTCTTATATAACTTGGAATATAGACATGATTTTTAATTACTTAAACTTTTAAAAATAGAATAGAATCTCATAGAAAAAAGAATTGCGCACCAAGCGAACGCCAAAACAAAATGTACATAATAGTGCGCAATATTATTAGTACTTTAGAAATTTACATGCGTTTTTTGAGAAATCGGAAATAGCGTAAATTAGTACTTCCGGTCAACGGAAATTACTCATGTGAAATTTCATTTATCTATCTGAAATAGTACTCAAGTTATAGGCTTTTGAAAAATTCAAAGTAGAAAAAGTACCACTTCCGGTTATCGGAAATCGTTAAAAAGTTGATACGGATCTATGATTTTGATAAAATACTTATATATGAAATTTCATAAACCTAGCTGTAACGGTAATCAAGTTATCGTGTTTACATACAGACAGACACACACACAGACAGACAGACACACACACAGACAGACAGACACACAGACATAAGGACAAGATTGCAAAATTATGTTTTTCCGTATCAGTGAGGTGTAAAACGTCGAGATATGTGAAAATCTCGATTTTTTTTTGCACGATTACAAGACTTTCTCTATACTTCGTATATACGAGAAAGTAAAAAGTTAATTGCATGAAAACTTCAGCAATTCTTTTATCACGAGCGCCTTCTCATTTGGTTCCATTTAGTACATGAACTTGTCACTAAAAATTTTCAGAGAAATTAAAATTGTGATGTCCCTACGAAAGTAAACAATTCATCATCAAGTCCAGGGAGGACTAGTTGCGGGGTCTCTCTAGCAAAAAATGTCAACCAATAGAGGCCAGAGTAAATAACGGCTAAGTTCATTATGGGACGTTACTATGGTAACGGGCGCCTGGAGCAGGCTCTAAGGTGGCACCAGTTCAAATCACAGCTAGATACTCTGGTATACCTCTCTTATACACACACTTTACACACATCACAGCTAGATACTCGGGTATACCTCTCTTATACACAGCTAGATACTCGGGTATACCTCTCTTATACACAGGTATACCAGAGTATCTTGCTGTGATTAAAGTCTCTCTTATACACAGACTTTACACACAGCTAGATACTCGGGTATACCTCTCTTATACACAGACTTTACACACATAGAGACACACGCATATGTATATATATAAGGTGTGTGTGTGTGTGTATAAACAGGTAAGTAAACAGTTTACCTGGTAATAAAGTCTAATGCACCAAGAACAGCTAGAAAAACCAGCTAGCACAAGCTAACCAAAATCTTTGAATTCACATTTGACGGTGCTTAAAATTTCTAAGATTAGTTGGTAACCAAATTTGGCTAAGCTACGAGAAAGTCTCACTTTCGTATGGTGAACACGTGGTGGTCATGTGGTCCAAGTCTCACTATTGTGTGGTGATCTGGCAGTAGAACTAGTAGAAGTGAGGCTCAAGTCTCACCATGCGGCCAGGAGATGCCGACACACATATAACTAAAACTATGTCAGAAGAAAAAAGTCGATGGGAAACTTTTGACACGAATATAGATCTATCCATTTCTGCATGTTTACTGTTGGATCATGTAGAGTCGACAAAAACCAACTGCGGAAATGTAATGAATACATAACACATAACAATCAACCAAGGGCGGTAACCCCACGTGATAAAAGGGGGGATAAACGTAACAATAATAAATTTTTCTGCACTAGAATCTTTGCAGCAGGTTGTTTTATGATTGAGTATTGTTTGCTGAGGCACGCTGGGAGCCGGTTATCTATAAATAGAATCAAGGTGCTCAGCAATAGCTCATGCACGTGTGTGGGTGACATGACCGCGAGTG